GGGGGGGGGGGGGCGGAAATGAAGCATTTATTAATAGTACCAAACATTCACTTGTTCTTTTGTCACAAACCGAGGAAGCCTTGCAAAATATTTCTACACATTTCTTCCCAATAATTCAGGTAATACCATATTGGCAGTCCATTACAAGGTCTTCAGACTTTCCTGAGATCTGGCAGAGTTTATCTCTGTGTTATCAAATACAGGAATGACTGCTGAGAGGGAGAGTTTAATAAAAAATATAAGCATTATCTTACCCCTCTGTTGCTGTTCTTAAAGAGACTGATCCGATATTGGTTTGGTTTAGAGGTTCTGTGCTTCCTGAAAGAACTAGAAGTGTGTGCAATCTGGTTTTAGGAAAAGGTGTTATTCCACTCTTTTCAGTTTAAAACAACCAGCGTACGCATCTTTATGATTTGATTTACCCAATAATATTGTCTTAGGTTTAGCAGCACCTCTATCCATTTTGCCAAGTTTTTCCAGAGTGGCCTTTTTTAAACTCAATTCTCATTCTCCCCCTAATCAATTTATTTCACATTGACATCTTGACATTCCAAGAAATTCCCCAGGGGGACAACAAGCAATGCTTAGAAAATAAAGCTGATTCAGGGTCAAGACAAGTCTTTGGGTTCAGTTCGGTCTGATGACAGAATTTTATGCTTTCATCTGGATTCTAATTTTCTTTAGAAAAATAACATCTTTGTTTTTAACAACACGTACTCTTTCCTATGCACTTCTGTTCAGCAATCCTCCATCTCCTTTAATGCTGTAGAGCCAGAGAAAGGACAGTCTCCCAGGGTCCCTGCATTTCAGCTTGTGGTGTGCCTGAATTAACTGCACTTTCCACATACAGAGTAACGCCTAGTAGATTTACTCTCCATTGACTTACCTTGAATACATATATTGTGAGATTTTATAGACATTAGAAGATTAAAACCAATGAGCATCTGTAGACACCAGACTTCACCTGAAAACTATATTTACTAGTCAGTATTTTCCACTTGCAATTCAGATGACAAAAATAGTACTTTATCGTCTGCTTTTAAAATTCGCACATGCTCCCCATCTTCTCTGACCATTCCACCCAGGATTTACTGATTTCCCCAGGCTGTCTATATGAATACTGTACAACCATAGTGCAGAGGAAGGATGATGGAGAAAGCCTCGGTTTGTGTCTCTAAACGAGAAACTTGTGTATAGGGCCCTGTTAACTTTTACCGTAGCATTTGGACTTGACTCTGGATAAATATTTAACTCCTAAACCTGGGAATAAGCCAAAAGTTTTTAAGATCCCTTTTGAGAACTGCCAGATCATGTTATCAGTTTTTCATCTTCTAATGTTAGTTGCAAGGTGGGTTGTTTTGCATGTTCAGCTTGAAAATCCAGTCACGAATGCTGATCTCTCTCCCTCTTTCCTGTTAAAGTGACTGGGCTGGAGCTCTGCGGGGCTAAGTAGGCAGGTTTATTTAGTTTGTTTACGAAGAACAAAGAAAAGAGTTTCATTTAATAAACAGATGCGTTACATGTCATGAAACTGAGTAGGTGTTCTCCATATTTCAGTATTACTACATCTAAATTCCAGGGCCTTTTCTTCTTTCCATGTCTCATGAATGAGTTGACCCAACTGTGGTTCCATCTGTTCACTCTATATTCTTTAATATATATAAATTTAAAATTCTACAGGAGAGCTATTAGGGGCCTAGGCATTTCAAATGTACCTAATTTAATATTCTCTAGAATTAAACTAACATTTAATGCCTTTTGTCCAGAACTAGGGATCTGGTATGGTTTAGGTGGCTTAAATTAAATACTTTTATTTTGGAATCACTGTCTCCAAGCAGTATTAACATCCTACATCCTGTATTAACAACCAAGATACATGGTAAATTGTCTTGTGGATATCCTTTGGCTGGCTCCTCTGGAGACTGAAGAGACTATTTTATGTGTTGTTTATTTTTTAAACGTTAGCAATAGTCTACTGCTTTTGTCTTTTTCATAATAGTGTTGTTTTGCAAATCTGATGATCTTTACAGCATTGTCTGGTTTTATGAGGTCTAGTTTACTTCTACTGTCAACCAGGCTCTGGCATATTTCCTGAGATTGCTTTGTTGAATTATGTTCCTCTCTTTTTTCTACTTCCCTTAAGAAGTGCTGTGCCTGGAGG